TAAAAGATTGTCCTTATTCTTTAATAGTCGATGAGAGCACAGATGTTGCCACTGTCAAGTATTTGTGTGTTTGTGTACGTTACTTTAGTACAAAAGAACAAAAAATTTTGATTTATTTCTTAGGATTAATTGACATAGAAGAGGCTACAGCAAAAACTTTGCATACGAAATTAACAAAATTCCTAACAAATTTGGGATTAAAAATTTCAAATATGATTGGGTTAGGCACAGATGGTGCAAATAATCTCTGTGGACGACATAATTCTTTATATACCAGATTAAAACAAGATAATCCTAAAATTGAACTTATTCGATGCATTTGCCATTCGCTTGATAATGCATCGTCTAAAGCGGCTAACATGCTACCATCAAATTTAGATTTTCTTTGTAGAGAAGTTTATACATGGTTCAGTCACAGTTCTGTTCGAAGAATACAATACAAAACATTATATGATATTTTAAATTCAGGTGAAAAATCGTTTCACAATTTTGTACAATTATGTTCAACTCGCTGGTTGTGTCGATATAACGTAATAAATGTGTTATTAGAACATTATGATGAACTAAAAACACATTTTCAAGTTGTCGTAAATAAAGAGAAATGTTACACAGCTAGAACGCTTAACGAAATGCTACATGATGAAACTAATTATTTGTATCTGATCATTCTTAAACCTGTTCTTCATGAATTAAATAAAACAAATTGCATTTTTCAGTCAAATTATGTTGAAATTGGAAGCGCGATTGAGGATATCAAAAGACTCATTTTCTTTCTTGCTAAAAAAATTTTGAAACCTTTGTTTGTTCAAAATATTAATGACATTTTAAAAAATGCTGATAATGAACTTGCATATAAAGAAGTAAATGAAATAGATTTTGGAATTGAGTACTATAAATATTATCGTAATGTAAAAACATCTTTAACAAGGAATGACATAGATAATTTGGAACAACGAGCGAGTGATTATTTTAAAAAACTGTTACAAGAAATAATTCAAAGATTGCCTCTTAATATTAATCATTTTCAAGATATTCAAGCACTGAGTCCGAAAGTATGTCTTTCAAAAATGAGACCAAAATTTTCTGATCTTCCTTTCATCGATGTATTCATTGATAAAAAGGAATTATTTAAAGCTGAATCCGAATATAATTTATTAACTGATGTTGATTGGAATCTCTTATATGGAGATAATATACTTAAAGATAGTTATCGCTTCTGGCCTGCCGTAGCACAACATAGAAATTCTGGAGGTTCCTTAGTTTTCAATACAATCGCAGAATTTGCATTAAAAATATTATGTTTACCAATGTCAAATGCAACAGTTGAAAGAGTTTTCAGCATCATGAATGCAACGAAAGATAAAGTAAGAAATAGAATGGCGACAGAAATGTTAAATTCTATCCTCATGATAAAATCGCACTCTTATACCAACAGTTATTGTTGCAATAATTTTATTTGCACTAAAGAGATGTTTAAAAAATTTAATAATTCAATGTATTCTAATATAAACGAAGCAGAAAATGAACAAAATAATGATTTTGATATTATAGAGGCTGTGAATAATTTGAATGATACTGATGTTTGTACTGAAATTGATTGTTTTTTATAGATGTTTGAAATATCCAAAAGTTTATTGAAGTACAATTTAAGCATAATTATTAAAATAATATATTAAAAGACTGTTTATTTATATATTTTAATAGATATTAGTAATACTTACATCTGAACATGTTTGTGCAATTTTATTTTGTAATTTAGTTAAGTTCTTTTTACAAATTATTTTTTGCTTATATTGGGTATTTTGCAATTAAATGATATTGGTCTCTATATAGAATTCATTTTGTTTAAAGAATTGTATCTGCATAATTTGTAAAAATTGCCAATAAAAATGTTTATTGCAATTTTGCAAAAGCGTTTTTATCACTTTTATGCCTTGGTTTGAATATTTCTTGAATTTGGCGCATGGTGGCGCATTAGGCGTTCGAAGTTGGCGGACTAGTGCTTCTAAAACCTGGCAACCCTGCTCGTAGCTAAATCGCGGGGATTCTGGACTCTGGAGTCTGGACGATTCGATTCGTGTGCGAGCTACGGAATTAGGTGGACGTTTGTGGCCGAGTGTTCTACTTACGCTTTAGTATTGCATCATTCAACTAAGTTGAAAAGACCGGCCAAGTATACCCCTGCACAGAAGACCAGAGCCATCCAAACGAAAAAGAAAAAGAGAAAGGGGACGTCGACAACGACGAGGAGAATAACGATGGTAAGTTCTCGAAACACAATAGGGTCCGATTTACGCTTGCAGCGATCGTGATCATCATTTGTCTTCTTCTTCTTCTAATAAAGGCTTCCGTTTCCACCAGAAACGATACAGCCTGTGCTTAAGATTGAGTAACAAAAAACTTGTGCGACAATAGATGATGCAACATACTTGTGCGACAAAAGATGATGCAACACTATCAGAGTACTGAGCCACAGACGTCCACCTCAGTCCGTGGCTCACAACGGAATCCATCATCATTTGTCTTTATTTAATATTCGATTAACGGCAAGGATGAAAGTATTCCAAAAGCGTTGGAGCGTGAATCGAACCGCAGCCTAAGTCTTAAGCCGTAAGAAATGAACCAATCGTAATTGAATTTGAAGAGAATAATCGATTACGGTTGGTCAATTTCTTACGGCTTAAGGCTTATATCTATTTTATTTCTCTGACATCTTTAATTCTGACTAATCAAGGCGGAGAACAACGAGAGCAAGAAAAAGGTCATCGAGGATATAAAGGAGATGGAGTCGCTTAAAGATGCGCCGCCGGACAAGCAGGAAAAGGACGCGGTTGCGAAGGTCGGTACTGTGACTGAGAAGAATGTTCAGTTCCCGCTGGATTCGCTGCTCTCGTCCAGTCTCAATACGGAGTTAAAGGTCATCAAGAATGTGAGTAACGCCGAGAGCATATCTTTCTCTCTCTCTCTCTCTCTCTTCCCCAATTTTAATTTTGCGGAATTGCGAATTCGTTAATTACTGCTGCTCGATTCCAATGCGTGACGCGCTCAGTGAGAACGCACCCTTTGGCGACGCCAATGGTGGGAAACACGTGATCGCCTATATATATATATATATTTTGTCACGCGCTCGGCGAGGTTCGAGTGGTTCGAGGTTCGCGTTCGCGCGAGCGCGGATCAAAAATGGAAAGAGGGAAATCGCGAACGATTTCTGGAGGGAAGATGTTAGCCCTCGGAATTCTGTCCCTCCGGCGACCGATACGGGGTACGCATGTCCTCTTCCTGGGGGAGCTCCAAACGCTTCGAGCGCGACATCCCTCCGGTGTTAAGGATGTTCTCCCGCTATTGCAACGCGAAAACGATTTCCCAAAGACGAGAAAATCGAATTATACGGCAGCCTATTCGCGAGAAACTTTACCCGTCCGGTACGCGTGTACTCAGCTTGACTTCCGCCGGGCTCGTACTTCCCCCCAAATTCCAACCTGTTTACGCGCCCGAAAGCGAAGCACTACAATCGGCACTGTTTTTCGCGCAGGACGAATTCCTGCGCCAAGGTCAACTCGCGCAAACAACGATGACGTCGGCCGAACCGACGACAAGAAATGCGAACAATGCTGCAATCACTCGAAATCGTCAACGAAACAATAACTGAATTTCGAGACGATACTCGCGACGCACTCGACAAAGCACGCGATCCGGAAACAGTCAACAAGTGGCACAGCAGAAAAGAAAAAAAAAACAATTTCGAACAGCACACACAAATATTCTAACTACAGATAATAAAACAACGAAACAGCAAAACAGAATAAATTTCATTAAGTCTCGAATTCCTTCGCCAAGCCACCATCCGATCGCAAAAAAAAAGGAATCCTCTATATCGCCCTTTAGTTTTAGGGCCCCACGTTGGGCGCCAAATTTTGTCACGCGCACGGCGAAGTTCGTGGTTCGCGCGAGCGCGGATCAAAAACGGAAAGAGGGAAATCGCGAACGATTTCGGGAGGGAAGATGTTAGCCCTCGGAATTCTGTCCCTCCGGCGACCGACTGCACGGGGTAGCGATGCGAGAATTGGGCGCCAGACGTGCTCGGTGGCACGTCACTCGCGAAACGCAAAGATATTACAATAACGTGAAAAATACACTTGCGCGCGACAATACTCGAAATCCATAGACGAATGCCACTCCCAAGGTCGATCGCGCGAGGGCCGGCCGGCTCTACCTAACGGCAGAGGGGCAGAGCGAGAACTAAGGGCGAGTTATAGGCTACGGGCGATAGGATGGTGCGGAACGGGCGAAAGAATTCGTACTCCAGATTTAACCTCGGGCCTCCCGGAGATCTCGGTCTCGCTTATTATACGCGGTTGCCGGCAAAAAGGGCGCAAACCCGCGCCTTGTGACGGGACGCTGCTCCGCTGCAGCGGGCTGCAACGTTACAATATATATATTAATAATCTATATATCTATATATGATGGAAACACGTGTGATCACCCCGGGGAGAATTAATTATATAATTGAGAGACCCATGGTATTCGGAGCCTAAGGAATCCATAGGGGAAGGAAAAGGGGTGATACCCGATTGACCACGCCCGATTGACCACCAGCCACTCACAGCGTTTGAACAGTGGAAAATCTCTAGGCACCGGCCGCTGTGAGTGGCTGTGGTCAATCGGGACGTGGTCAAACGGGACGCTCCCAA